TTATCTTGTGAGATACAAGTTTTTCTCCTTCATGATCTATCTCATCATCCACTTTCCATCATTTTTACATAGCTAGCAAAAACACACACAAAACTCAAACGGGCTCATAATTATTTGATTATCTTCATGAAATTTTTTTTTGAAGACATTTCCTATTGAGAAGTGCGATAATAAACTAAACTCACACATATTACACTAATGCTAGGACTCGAATTCAGAACCTTTCTTAGAGAGCAATTGCTCCACACCACTTCATGGCAATTTTATTATTTATCAAAAGAAATATATTCTTTATTATTTGATGGGAATTTAATAACTAAACATTTTTTTTCTATAAAAAAAAAGCTCAATAGTTTTAAATTTTACTAGCCCCTTGGCATGCTCACTCATGTGCCAATTGATTTTCTTTTTTCTTTTTTCTTTTATTTTTAGAATTATGAAAAGATAATAGGGAGTTTCACTAAAACACCCAAAATGGGGGCTGAAATTATAAAAAAACCAAACACCCAAAACACTTTATAAACACACCAAAAACCCATCATTACACACACTTAAAACCCATTTATAAACACACCAAAAAAATATACAATTGTTGATTTTGGGTGTGTTTCTATGTTTAAATAGTGTTTGAGTTTTTTTATAAATACATGTCTAGGATTGGGTTTATTTATAAATTTATATGATAATTATGTTCCATAAAAGTAGAACTTATTATATGATTTGTTTTAATTTTAATTTTTTTAATATAAAAAATGAATTTAATATATTATCATCATTTAATTAATAATTTAATTATTAATGTTTGAATTAACCAATGACATTTTTTGGTATTTTGAATGTTTCACAATTTTCTACATTTTGCTTTATATAAATAGATTAAGTTTTTTTATTATACAAATTTTATTAAGTTTTTAATTTTCTTTTTGGCTTTTATCACAAATGGTCATTGAGGTTTGCGAAATTATAAACTTTCGTTCTTTATTTTTGAGTGCTGCTATTTCCACCCCACTATCCTATTTCTCCACTCGCCTTATCTTCAAAATTATAGAGACAAATTTACTCATTTGTAAAATGACTTCTAAGAACTTAGGGAAAAAACATGTTTCACTCATTAAGAATTAAAAAAACTGAAAAAATAGAAGGAAAATTGAAAAAAAAACAAAAAACAAAAAACCCTAACGCACGTATATCACGTCACATGCTCATTCATTTTTGTTTTGCACTCGAGGCAGCCGCCACAACCTCCTCCGTTGCCTTCTCAATCTCATCCCATCCACTTCACTGGTTGGAAAGTAAATTTTGAATCTTCATAAAAGTAATTGGCAGTCTATATTCCCATTCTATTACGTATACCTACACAGTGTTTGCATTTTTTTTGAACGATACTTTCATTCTATCTGTATGGGCTCTTTGCTTCAAACATGTTGCTTTCATGGTGGATTACTGGAGAAGTCAGTTGTTCAAGTTTGTATGGGAAAAAAAAAAAATAAGAAGCAAAAATTCGACAGCCACCCACCCAACTACAACTTTGAAATTTAAAGAACAGAAAGAGACCTTTCAATCTGAAAAAAAAAGAAAAAAAAAAGGAACCTCTCCGAAGATGAAGGAACCAACTTGCTTCATGGTGGAAGATTAAATGAGCATTGAATAGTCGGGGGAGGGGAGGGGAATGGAGAAAGAAGAGAAGAAAGAATGAGAAAAAAGAAAAAGTAAAAATAAAAATAATAATTAAAGGGTATTTTAGGAATAATAGTGGGTGGAAAGATAATATTGTGTTGTTTTAAAATTTATATAGTGAGTGGGAAGATAAAGTGTGTGGGAAAATAGGACATGAAAGTAGAAATAGTAGCACTCTTATTTTTTTTTGGTGACATTAATAGTCTAGATTACTTTTTATACATCAATTTGGTCACTGTTGTTAAATTCCATCCAATTTTTGGTTAAATTACTTAAGGTGGACCCCTACACACCAATGAAATGACGACATGTGGATTTAAGTAAAAAAGAATATTTTAAACTTTAAATAATTAAAATAAAATAAAAATATGACAGCCCTCTTCCTCTGTCCTCTCTTTCTCGCCTTCTCCCCCACCCAATTTCCACGCCGCACCACCCCCAACTCAATTTCCATTTCCACGCAGCCCCTTGTCCCTCTATGTCGGTACACGAGCCAGACTATTGGAGAAATAAAACAGAGGGGAAACAAATAAATGTGAAAATGGGAGTAAATTAAGACAAAATAAATTTCAAGGGGCAAAGTGAAACTCAAAACAAGTTTCAGGTGGTATATAAAAAAAAAACCTTTCTTTTTATGCGTGTAACTTTGAAAGAAAATTGAAAACGTAGACCCTTTTAATTGGACCCTTGTAATCCAAGAGATCAGGACTGTTAATTTAGAGAATTATAATTTATTTTAACTTGTAAATAATTTACTTAAGGGTGAAGAATGATTTTATTAATAATTAATTTTGTTTTTGCCTTTTCGTTTCTTTATGTTTTGTGTGTCGTTGGTGCTCCATGCTTTTTTGCCACCAAGGTGCTTCCATGCCTTTTTCCTTCCCCCTTGTGATTTGACTAAACAATTAACCAAAATTGACTCGTGCCTTAAGTCCGCTCCCGTACGCTCGCAACCAGCGCTCCGAACCTCCCTAATTGGCGGACGCCAGTCCTCATTTCATTCCAGTTTAATCCACTTCGCTCCCGCGCGTGCGTCCTCACTGGCTACTCCGGTCACCTTAATACCCTTTAAAACTCACCTAACCGGTAACCCCTGCGACCTTTCCACCTTCCAAACCGGTTTCCAAGGACTTATAAAATTCGTGTAAGAATTCATTAAGAGTCTCTATTCTCTGCTTCCAGGACTACCATCATGGATTACGTGTCAGAAATCTAATGGTTATTGAGTGGACAGCTACCCAGTTGGATAAGGCCATGTCATGTTCTGCAATGTTTTTGCGTATGACATGATGCACGGGATTTTCTGGAGAGACAATTTAAGTTTCATGTAGGGTGAATTTAGGTTGAATTTCTATGACATTTGACCGAAAGACAAAGGTTAAATTATTACAACAGAGCTTTGGCTCCTGTATTTATATTCCATTTTACCCACGTAACATCATCTAATCAGGGTCCGCCACGTAGAGATTCGTGAGAACCCAAGTTTCCGAGAATATCCCTATCTTTTCCTAAAATGGTGGACATGTCCAGAGTGGCCTGACGTGGCGCGATATAAGTGGAAATTAAAGAAATTGCATTAAAACAGCGACTCTCTCAGTGCGCTTTGGCTTTCTTTAATTTTCTTTTGCCGGTATTGGATAGGCGATTTTATCAAAGCCCAAAGAAAGAAATAAAGAAATAAAGAAGAACACAGAATTCTTTAATTTTTTATTTAATTTTTAAAAAAATACTTTTTAAATTTTTATTTCCATGAGAGAGATGGAAGAAGAGAAACAAAGCTCGCTTTAATATTTTCTTTCATTCTCTCTCTTGCGCTCAGAAAGCAGAGGAGGAAATTTTCTCAGAGTCCAAACAGTTTCTTGAGAAGTAACCAGAAGCAGCTCTAGATCTGCGTCACTGTCACAGAGCCTCAATGGTGCTATCCTTGCTTTCTTAGCTGGAAGATTTGGTAAGATTCGCTTCGATCACAAAGCTTACCTTATACACCGCCTATATACACAAATACATACAGACATATATGTATAAATACTCCCTCTGAGACTGTCTTAAGACTTGGGCTTGCTCTCTTTCTGTACTGTCTTCTGCTCATGATCTTGGAAATGACGAGACTCTCTCTCTATCTCCCTGGATGTTGTGTACGTATGCTTTTGATGTTCGACTGCGATTACTTGTTATTTGAAGCTATCAGTTTAAGGAAATGAGAAGTTCTCATAAATTTATATTTTCTCTCTCTCAAGTTTACATTTTTTGGGAAACTTAGTTTTGAATGGATTTCAAGAAGATCATTACTGCGATTGTTGCTGATTTGATCCTCAGGATCTGATTATGAATTTTATTTTGATTTTATTTTATTTGTGTTGTTTTCATTTGGGAATGATATAGTACAGTCTTTTTGAGTTTGACTTTGGTTTTTGTGTTTACAGATCTATTTGAAGTTTTCTTAACCTCTTTTTAATTGCTGGGAAATAGTGGGGTTGATAATGAAATTGCAAAGGATGCAATTTGTCTTCAGGTTTTTTTGTGGGCTTTTCATTTCCTCTCCAAGATATTATTCAATAACAAAACGTTATTATACAAAGCGTTGTTGAATGTTATTGTTTCTGATAAAATAACCCGGATTTATGAATCTTAATTTCTTTTATGTTTTAAAATATTTTCTCTGTATCCAACCAGAGATTAATTTCTTGAATTTTCTTCTTCATTTTTTGTTATTTGTAATTATGTGTGTCTTGCTTGATTTGCCAATCAATTTTACATATCTTTATGTTCAATTTTATTTTTTTTTTTTTTTTTTTTTTTTTTTTTTTTGGTTTGCTTTCTTGGAGACTGTGTATGAAGGAAAGAGAAAGTCCTTAAGAGAGGGAACCATTAGCACGCACTTTTTTCCATTAGCTCTTGCTTTTGACGAAAACCGAACTTAGCATGGGCTAATCCAATGCTTAGATTATTTAGTTCCCTTATGACATTTTTTCTTGTGTCTGATAAATCCACTGAACTTGTTTTTCTTCTTCCAAAATATGTTATTCGTTCCTGTCTTTTTCTAAATCAAAATTTATAAGTGGGTGTTGTCTCTGAAGAGGCATATGTGGAACTCATTATTGTTTGGATTATTCTAGTATGGTTTTGGTGAGGACCTTTAGTGCTTATATATGTATGTGTAAATATGACTTTGATGGTTACTCATAGTTTAATTCTGTGATTGTTATGTTCAGCTGGCCTCCCAGCAAATGAAAGAATGTGCTAGGGATCAGAGCGGCTAAAACCCACTTCCCCTCCAGAAGCATCTCATATCTCTGTTGACGAAAATAGACCCCAACACAGCCATGAATAATCACTTGACAGTTGAAACTGAAGATACTTTTGCCAGCTTACTTGAGCTTGCTGCGAACAATGACATTGAGAGCTTCAAAAGATCTATTGAACGGGACCCTTCTGCCATTGACGAGATTGGTTTATGGTATTGTCGTCAGAAGGGCTCAAAGCAGATGGTTAATGAGCAGAGAACCCCTTTAATGGTTGCCGCTATATATGGCAGCATTGATGTGATAAAGCTTATTCTTTCTCTCTCTGATGCTGATGTAAATCGCGCCTGTGGGCTTGATAGGAGCACTGCTCTTCACTGTGCTGCCTCAGGTGGGGCTGAGAATGCTGTGGATGTTGTGAGGCTGCTTTTAGCAGCTGGTGCTGATCCCAATTTGGTTGATGCTAATGGTCATCGTCCTGTTGAAGTTATAGTTGTTCCTCCTAGGCTACAGAATGTGAGATTAGCTCTAGAAGAACTCCTTATGATTAATGGTTCTGCTGGTGAACAGATTCTAACGGTCTCAACAAGAACCCTACATTCAAGTTCTCCTCCTCTTTCAGCTTCCCCAGAAAATGGGTCTCCATCTGCTTTAGATTTCGCTTGTTCTCCAACAAAGTCAAAGTTCTACAATCTTCCTGTCTCTTCTGCGTCAGAGAAGAAGGAATATCCTGTTGACCCCTCTCTCCCAGACATCAAGAACAGCATTTATTCAACTGATGAGTTTCGGATGTATTCATTCAAGGTGAGGCCTTGTTCACGTGCGTACTCCCATGATTGGACTGAGTGCCCTTTTGTCCATCCAGGGGAAAATGCACGGAGAAGGGATCCTAGGAAGTTTCATTATAGCTGTGTTCCTTGCCCTGATTTCCGGAAGGGGGCTTGTAGACGTGGAGATATGTGCGAATATGCTCATGGGGTTTTTGAGTGCTGGCTACATCCAGCTCAGTATCGAACCCGACTTTGCAAAGATGGTACAAGTTGTGCAAGGAGGGTCTGCTTTTTTGCCCACACTGCAGAGGAACTCAGGCCATTATATGTCTCTACTGGTTCTGCTGTTCCTTCTCCTCGCTCGAGCACTTCTGGTGCTTCAGCCATGGATTTTGCTGCTGCAATGAGCCTCTTGCCTGGTTCCCCATCATCAGTCAATGTCATGTCTCCTTCACCCTTTACTCCACCCATGTCCCCCATCTGCCAATGGCATGTCACACTCATCTCTAGCTTGGCCCCAACCTAATGTCCCAGCTTTGCATCTCCCAGGCAGCAATCTTCAGTCTAGTCGCTTGAGATCTTCCCTCTGTGCAAGAGATATGCCAGCCAATGATTATGATATACTGCCAGAGTTTGATATGCAGCAACAACAGCTCCTAAATGAGTTTTCTTGCCTCTCCCAACCATCTATGAGTTCTAATTCACTTAACCGTTCTGGCCGGTTGAAAACCCTAACCCCCTCAAATCTTGATGATCTCTTCTCTGCTGAGAGCTTATCACCCCGGTACTCTGATCAATCATTGCAGTCAGGTGTTTTCTCTCCAACTCACAAATCAGCTGTTCTTAATCAATTTCAGCAGCAGCAGAGCATGCTTTCACCAATCCATACAAACTTTTCCCCCAAGAGTGTTGATCACCCTCTATTGCAGGCCTCTTATGGGGTCCCATCCTCTGGGAGGATGTCTCCACGCAATGTGGAACCTATCTCACCGATGGGCTCTCGGGTTTCCATGCTAGCTCAACGAGAGAAGCAACAACAGTTTCGTAGCCTTAGTTCACGGGAACTCGGCTCCAACTCTGCTTCCAATGTTGGTTCTCCTGTAAATTGTTGGTCAAAATGGGGATCCTCCAATGGAAAACCAGATTGGGCAGTTACTACAGATGAATTGGGTAAGCTCCGCAGATCATCTTCTTTTGAGCTTCTGCACAATGGAGAGGAGCCAGATCTATCATGGGTTCAGTCACTTGTTAAAGAATCTCCTACCGAAATCAAAGAAAAGCTAACACCGAGCTCGGGTGTTACAGCCACTGGATCTTCCAGTGAGGGTTCAAATGCAAACTCCCAAAGGGAATCGGTTGATCATGCTGTTTTGGGAGCATGGATTGACCAAATGCATCTGGATCTTGTGGCCCAGCAGAACTGAAACAATGTTCAGTTAGTCCCAAGGTAGTTAACAGGAAGGTTTTGGTAAATAACATAATGGCTTTTTTTCCAGATTTTGTTGGTGGGTGGTGTTGAAGGTAGCAGAAACATGGACGAAAGCAATTGCAGAAAGTCACTTGAAGAAAATTCATTTCACCATTCATTGTTACAGAAGTTAGAAAGAGTAAGCATACCTCTGGGTTAATACTCAAAAAGATGGAACCCAGTCTAGGTGTCATTTTGCTTCCAAATATTTTCAAATTTTAGGTTTATATGATCATCATTTTTTCTTCTATGATGAGCAACATGTTCTATGAATATGGAACTCAAAATCCTATGGCTGTTTCCTGTTCCTTTTATTCATTGTCAACTTCAGTACAAATTAGGGGGGGTGGTCATTCTATTATCTTCTTAAAGATTTCTTCATAATATGGGCCTGGACCTCTGGTCCATTTTTGGGGATTGGAAAGGTTGTTGCTTCTGATGTGTTCTAATGTAATTTTACAAGATGGTAACTGCTAGTGCCAGTTACTAGGGATAAAGAGGAAGATGGAGAAATTATGAACCTTCCATAATGTAACATTCAATTTTACTGCTATTGGTATTCTAATACTTATATTTTCATTTTTCTGTCGCGTCGTATTGTTCTTTTATCATTTATTCTGTTATGTTGATTTTATTCTATTTCTCTCCTGTTGGTATTGGTTTTGGTTTTAGTGGCTTATTAGGATAGAATTAACATGAGAAGGTGGGATTTGGTGGATTCCAAATCATGGTGGTGGGATTTGAGATTGTGTGGGATGTGGATGGCGAAAAAGAAAAAGATATCGGATATGGATTCTCTCAATCCTTGTCGAATTTTATCAGATGCCGTGTCAAATTGTTTATGCCTCTTGTTATAGGAGTTGCATTGTTAGTGTGAGGAAATTTTCTTTTAGCCTGATATAGCGTGAGGAATGAGTATCAAACATTAGCTGTTCTGTTGCTCTATTCTTTTTCTCTTTTGCTGAAATTAGCAAATGTTAGAGGCATGTCACGGTCAGTTGCATATGTGAGTCCGGGTGTTTCCTGACCATTGATGCATGTGGCACTCGCAATGCGTTGACAGTCAGATTTATCCCACGGGCTATTTTTTGTGCCACGAAAAACAATGTGATTGCCCCTTGGAACCAGTTCCTGTTGCTTGTATTGGCATTTTGTACTAGGTTTTTGGTGCTGTCATCGTTTACTCCGTTGAAACTGGAAGATCCATATTATATGATGTTTGATGTTTAGATATTATTTATCTATATGAAGCTGACCATACATTACCTTCATATCAGGTCTTTTTTCTGTTAACTATCAGGTATTCTCTATAATGGAGAAGAAAAATGGTTACCAAACAAATAAAAGAAAAGGAAAAGAAAGAAAAAGGGTGACCAAACAAATAAAAGAAAAGAAAAATTAGGATGCAAGTTGGTGGAATTTTGCTCGTCTTTGTGCTCTTTTCCCTACTAGAAATGAAGTAAATGGCTCCCGGCCACAAAGTTGAGCCAGAAACTAAATAAAAAAACAAGAAAAAGAAACAGTTGAAAGAGACTGGGGAGGAAAATGTTTCATCCACTTTCGGTGCGTGGATTGATTGGGACATTTCCTGGTTTTTGTTGTTGAGGTTTTTAGTAGCCAAGCGCCATGCGCCATGCAAAGCTATTGTGGACTTTTTTTAATGGTGTGTAATGCAATGTAGTCAAACAAAAACAAAATGGGGGAGCTTTGATTATTAATTTTTCAACACAAGCGATAGTGTAAGGGGGATTCGAACTAGAGTGTAAGGGGATGAATCAACTGGCTTAACACACGTATGCCAAAAAGGATGAACCCTCTACCTTATAATTATAGGGAGTTTCACTAAAACACCTAAAATGGGGGTTGAAATTATAAAAAAACCCAAGCACTATTTAAACATATAAACACACCAAAAACCCATCATTACACACACTCAAAACCCATTTATAAACACACCCAAAAAGTTGACTTTGGGGTTGATTTTGGGTGTGTTTCTATGTTTAAATAGTGCTTGGGTTTTTTTATAAATACATGTCTAGGATTGGGTTTATTTATAAATTTGTAATAATTATATCATAAATGGAGTAGTTTATTCTTGTTATGTCGTCAATTACTAATTTATTACAAAAATCAATTGAAACTATGTCTTAATAGTTGATTCCGATTGGTGTTTGGAACAAGTACATACACCGAATGTTGTTTGTTGGGAACAAAATACTCGTCTATTCATCAATTCCAATTCGATGGTTAGACACTTTTTAACTTGGGTAAATTTTTTTGATTAAAAAAAAATAAAACTTGGGTAAATTTTTGTCTTCATATGCGAAGTGCGAGAAGTCGGACAACTCACCATATATTGCCGATCACCCGACTTCTGACAACAAATATATAATTTAGGCTTAAATTTGGTCAATTTAATTCCCGTATTTTTAATTTAGCTGATTTGATCCTTGTGTTTCACTCTTTCAACAAATTTTGTCAATTTTGTTAAATTATTGTTACAAATTTATTAAAGTCATACAAATTAATTAAAAATTTTAATTGTTTATAAAAAAAAAAGAGTACTAATTTCAGTTTACAAATAAGAAAACTGTGTAAACTGAAATTAGTAATTTGAGCAAGGATCAAAACTGGAGGAATGCCCTAAAAAAGCCCGGCAGGTTATCATTGTTTTATTTCTCTTCAAAGTTGAGAGTTCCAATTGTCCATTTTCACGTCAGACCTGTTCAGAGGCTAAGAACTGCACCCTCTGTAGCTCGAACCAGAAAACGTACTTCTTCAAAGTCGTTCCTCTGCTCGTCTACAAAAACATATAAAAATTCCAGCCTAATCGAAGCAGTATAGCTCAAACTGACTGTGAGTACAAGCTGTTCATCTCTGCCTGGTATTCTGCTGTAGGCAAGGATTTGGCCTTGCATGTCAGTTTCCAGTGCTCGTTTCACAAATCTTCCTTCACGAAAGTTGTTCCTCAGGTCGAGAACTCTAACATATCCAAAACTCAGCGCAATTGGACTGGTCATCTTTTCTTGCATTTTGCTCTAGAGTACCGATATTCACTCTTTCATGGTGGACCTATTAAGGCAAAAGGAGGTGCAGCTGCCTTTTTGCTCAACTGGTGTACAGATTACCTTATTTCCAAAGTAAATATCTTTGTTTTTTTACTTTTATTTATTTTTATATTACTCAATTTACTTAAGTTTACAATGTAAATAAGGAAGTACCCCCCATTTGGATTCAAATAAAAATACTAGAAAATCAAATTCCCACCAAATCAAAATATGAAAAATCGGTTTAAGTGCAAAATACGATTTAGGCTAAAAATGATGGCTCATTAAGTCAACATATACTTCATACTAAAATCCCATAAAATCAAGTTTTCTTATTTGATGTGTAAGGAATAAAAGCCACAAAAAATTATCTTGAGAAAATGATTATTTCGAAAAACCATTTTTCATACTTAATCAATATTGCACATCTGCTAAAAAATTTCTGGGTCCGCCATGCATGTCGATTTTCCTTGCTCAGATGACAAGGCTTCCTTCATATGAGTTGCTCAGAGTTGTGCTCTCTGCCCCAAATATCGTGGCCATCCAACCACTGTACCTCTCTCGGCAGTGGTATAACCAAAATAACCTCTTCCTTGTTTTCAAGTGTTGAATTGGTTGTTTGTTCTCCTTGGGAGCTTAGCTGAGGATTGAGATAAGGTTTTGAGATGATTTTATTGGTGGAAGTTTGTTTTAGAGTTTATGTTCATGAGATTTTTTTGGAGTTTTTAGTTTCATACAAAGTTAATTTGAGCTTTATTGAGGAATACATAAGATAGGTTGTCTAATAAATTGGATTAGAGGTTGAGTTTGGAAAATGAAATTCTGGATTTTAGGCCTAGGAACTCTGTGGATTTTGGGCCTATTTCAGCCGATGGTAAGTAATTAAAGATTTTGGGCCAATTGGCTTGGGCTCAGTACATTGGCAAAAATAAGGAGACTAGGTCAATTTAGTGACTCTGACAGAAGTCAAGGTGGTAGCATTCCTAGTTTTGATAAGATCTTCTGTCAAGGTGGCAGCATTCCTAGTTTTGATAAGATTTGATCGATCTGGCACATTGTTTACTATGTTTTATGTTTTCTTGACATCTTAGCTTTGTATTAGAGATATAATAAAGTCTTCGTTTTTCTCGAGGCATAGAAAAGAATCTATATCGAACAAGTTCCCCATTCAATGCATAATTGTTTGATCAAAAGTCAAGTTTCTTGACGCATAAGTTATTTAAATTCATTCAAGTCTATTAGGATTTTGCACCATTAATAGTGGCACGTTCATAATTTAACACAATCTTTGGCCTATTTATGAGGCTGTGAGATTTGAGGTAAACAAAAGTACAAATATTACGTAGAAGATTCTATAGGGATCTTAGAGCACTTCCACCCATTTGTCATGGTAAAGGACAAGGGCAAGACAATGACTGTTACTATTCATGTGAATAGTGGCAGCCCTTGCAAAAGGCTTGTGGTGTTTTCACCCATTGCTATAGCAACTCAAGGGCAATCACTATTCATATGAGATATGACAAGAGGAATTTGTATAGAGTTTTGGTGTGAGAAGTGAAGAATATGACTAAGTATTTATTTTAAAAAATTATGAAATTCTTAGTATTTTTTTAGATTTTTTTTCGTTGCTGACATTAACAAACCCAGACTGTTCTTGCCTTCAAACCTGCCCAGGCTTGTGGAGCCCACTAGCTGCTCGGGTTGCTGAAGCCTGCTGGAACGTCAACCTGGGGCTTGGGCCAAGGATGCTCGTTGGAATTGCTCTTATAACCGTACAAGTCAAACTTAAAAATATGCAATACTTGAAAAGGGAAGTTACAAAACCAAATGCAAATATTTGTAAAAACATGTCCCTTCTTGGCAAGATTGTAGATTGCTACCGATTGAGGAAGAATTGAGAAGAAGAAGAAGAATCGAGAAATCAGAGAGAGAAAATGAGAATAGCATCTGAGATTTCTTTTCCAATTCATGAATATTACAATACCAAGAGACCTTTATACTTTGGGCTTTGCTTAATAATTAAGCTAGCTCTTCCAAACTAACTGAAAGATGTACGTGACTATTACAATAGCTAATACAAACTAACACCCATGATTAACGTAATAGTCTTGACACATCAGCAGCCTTGCCTTGTCAGCTATTAGTCAAACATTCCCCATCAAGCTCAATTTGGATTTCCTAATCTGAGATTGGTACAGTGCTTTGAGAACACAGGAGTATGAAGTCCCTTTGTAAATACATCTGCAACCTGCTCATCTGTTGGAATATATTGCACTAAGATATCTTTGCGTTGAACCCATTCCCTCACAAAATGGAAATTAATAACGAGGTGCTTAATAGAGGAGTAGTAAACTGGATTAGAACAGAGGGCTAAAGCAGACATGTTTTCACAATGAATTATTAGACGCTCATGAAGAAATTCATGAAGATCTGCAATCACTTGTCTTATCCAGGCAACATCAGCAGAAGTGTTAGCAAGAGCCCGATACTTTGCTTTTGTAGTACTATGAGAAACGGATCCTTGTTTATGTGATTGCCAAGATACTGAATTAGGACCAATAAATACTACATAAGGCCATCTCCAGCGATGGGCCTTAGGCTAAATATAGCCATAAAATAATGCAAAACCTATCTATAGACATGAGCTAAAAAAAATTTTGGCCAAATTTGGAGGGCCACAATTGGCCTTTTAGCCCTCCAACTATGCCAAATATAGCCCATCTTTGGCTTAGGCCAAATTTTTTTGTGGACCTAGCGCATGTGCTTTCCAAGAGGAGAAAGTATCACCCGTGGGTAAGAGCACGAAACATTTCGTGCAATTGCAGATCCAACAACTAATATTAAAGATGCGTTGACATCATCGATGACGTCAGCTAGCCGTTAGGTTTTTATTTTTATTTTTAATAACCTTTTCAAATGTTTTTAAATTCGTTTAAAAATATATATAAATATAATTGGTTTATGATCGTTAGAGGTCAGAACCATTGATTGAAAAGTTATTTATTTATTTAAAACTTTTTAAAATGTTTTAAATTCATTTTGTTTAAAAAAATATTGTCTCTAAATCGTAGTTTAATTAAATTAAACAATACTTAGTTGTGGAATATATGAGTGTTGTACCATAGTTTTTCTTACAAAAATAAAATATGAAAGGCTCTAAAATATAGTCATGCATAGCTGGAGATGGAAAAATTTAGCAATGCAGTATTCTTTTAAAAATTAATATTTTAGAGGGCTAAATTTTTAGCCCTGTACTACAATTAGCCCTATGACTGGAGATGACCTAACCTATGGTAGACCTGCGAGTTGAGACATCTCTTGCCCAGTCTGCGTCATTATAGAAACAGAACCAGGTGAATAGAGAATATCAAATTGTAATGTCCCTTGTATATACCTCAAGATCCGCTTAACAAGATAGAAATGAGCATTAGTTGGTTTGGTTATATACTGACACACTGTATTGACAACGTATGCTAAATCTGGCCTTGTAAATGTAAGGTACTGTAGTGCACCAACAATACTACGATACAAAGTGGGATCCTTTAAGGGTTCTCCTTCAGTCTTCAAAATCTGAGTATGTGGTTTACTTGGAGTAGAACATGCTTTACATATACTCATACCAGCCTTTGCCAGTAAATCCTTTGCGTACTTTTATTGATGTACAAAAATAGCCCCATTATGCTGATACGAAATTTGTAGCCCCAACAAATAGGAGAGTTGCCCCATATCTTTTCACTAAAAAACATAACCAAGATCATCAATGATTTCTTGAATGAGACTTGTATTAGAACCTGTTAAAATTATATCATCTACATAAATAAGTAAGATGACTACATATGAACCATGATGCTTGACAAATAAACTGGGATCAGATTGAGAGACTTTGAAACCTAGAGGAGGTAAGTATCCAGTAAACCTTGAGTTCCATGCCCTTGGAGCTTGTTTCAAGCCATATAACGATTTCTTTAGTCGACACACAAAATTTGGATGTTGAGGATCTTCAAACCCTTGTGGTTGCTTCATGTAGACCTCTTCATCAAGATCACCATGTAAAAAAAAATTCTTGACAGTAGTGTGCCTAACTACTGGACTAAAGGTCTTGGAGTAATCAAAACCATGTGTCTGGCTAAATCACTAAGCTACGAGCCTTGCTTTATATCTAGAAATGGTGCCATCAGAATTTCGTTTGATCTTGTAAATCCATTTACTACCAACCACATTTTTATTCAAAGGAGGTGGAACTAAAACCCATGTGCCTTGCATATGTAAAGCTGCAATCTCTTCTTGCATAACTTTTGTCCATTCCGAGGAGTAAGAAGCAATTTTATAACTGGCAGGTTCATCTCTAGTTTGGAAGAAGGCAAAAAAGTCGAACTAAAACAATGATAATATGAGAAATCCTTGTATTTGCTAATACCGGACTTTACTCGAGTTTCCATAGGATGATCATTAGCATGATTTGAATCATTAGAGCTAGAGGAACTATATGAGTCGGGAACAACCTCAGAAGAACTAGATGATGGTATATGAGGGAGTAAAGCTTCCAACTGAGCTTCACATAAAACTGGCAAAGTAGGAACTGCAAGTATAGAAGTCTCAAGGGCTTGAGAAGAAGAAAACTCCTCTGTGGATGTTGAGATAGAAGGTACAATATGTGGTGTAGGATTTGTATGAGAGGTGACGAAAACTACACTTGAAGGAACACTTATAGGCATATAAGAAACTGAAGAAGTGTCCTGAGAAGGAGACACCTTATGACCTTTAAAATGATATATACTTTCATCATGGATAACATTCCTAGAAATAAGAACCTTGTGATTTTCCATATTATAACACATGACACCCGTATAGCCCAGCATATAGCCTAAAAACATACATAAGGAAGATCGAGGCTGAAGCTTATGCATAGTTAAGGACCTCAAACTGGGATACACAACAAAACCAAATATTCTTAGATGCTTAGGGCCAGTTTGGCATTGCTGTGCTGTGAAAATAATCTCTATCAGATTTGCTGTGAGAGAAATCAGCTGTGAGAGAAAGCAATTTGGCGTTTGATAAAATTTTTGTTAAAAGTGTTGTTGGTATTGATTTTACACATAATCAAAAAATGATTGCAGCATAATTATTAAACCCAGTGCCTCTTCGAAACTGATTTCTGCATAATCAGAAAATGAAAGCACCTCATTAGCTGCTTTCCCTTATAGCTTTCTCTCACAACAATTTTTAACAGTAAGTGATTTTCTCACACCAAACAGGTTGTGCTTCTCAAAATTTTAAAAAAATCACTTATCACCCCAAATAAGCAATGCCAAACTAGCACTTAATCTCTAGAATTTTGTGAAACAATCTAAAATAAGGCAATTCATTTGCTAATATTCTACTAGGCATTCTATTAATAAGATAGAGAGAATGTGCCATAGCATGAAACCAAAACATCTCAGGCAAAGAAGCTGCAGTTAACATGGTTATAGATGTCTCAATCAAATGTCTATTCTTTCTCTCATCAAGACCATTCTGCTGGGGAGAATAAGGACATGATATTTGATGTTCAATACCATTATTCAACAAGAAATCTGTAAAGTGCTTGCTCGTAAACTCTCCTCCCCCATCAATTTGAAGACACTTAATAGATGCAGAAAATTGATTCTTGATAAATGCAGAAACTTTGAAGAAACTTTGAGAAGGTCTTAAATTTATTGAACAATGGAAATATCCAAGAATATCCAATAAACTCATCAATAAAGGTCACTACCTATCTATATCCATAAAAGGATTTACACGGAGAGGGTCCCCAAAGATCACTATGGATTCTTTGAAATGGCACTAAAGACTTAACATGAGTAGATGGAAAGGGTAAGGTGTGCATTTTACCACTTAAACAGTAAGGGCAAATATGCTAATGAGCATCTACAAGAACTGGTAATTGAGAGGTTTTAAGCATAGTTTGAACTACCTCATACCTCATTAGTAGGATGCCCTAACCTACTATGCCACATAGATGATTTGATTTGTTGGCCCACATAAGCAGTAGCTGGAGAAAAAGAACCATAAGCTAGAGAAGAATAATTGATTGGAGAAACTGCACCAAGTATAGGATATATGCCTTTATTGCTCCTGCCCCTGAGAAGAACTTGGTTTGTTGCTTTGTCCTGTATACAAAAACCAAACTAATCAAAAATGACATAACAGTTATTATCTTGACATAGCTGATGAATAGACATAAGTTTAGCAATAAGTTGTGGAACATGAAAAACATTGTGCAAATGTAGCTTAGAAGTGCCATTAGAGAGATTGGTGTGGCCAATGTGAGCAATCTACAAACCGACACCATGTGATGACTAGCACCACTATTAGCTATCTAGAATGTTTCAGGAGAAAATGAGGTTTGAGTTGTCATTGGAGTGAGAGATTTAGGAGGAGAGGAACCTTGATACATGTAGTTTGAGCGATGAAAGCAATCCAAAGCCCCATGGCCACGTTTCCCACAGATTTGACACTCAATAACAAATGATGAGGCTGAGTGTTGAGGAGAAACATTCCTATAGTAGCAGTTGATAGCACTATATCCACACTTGTTGCAAATTTGGCATTCTGGCACAACACCAGTCTTTGGAAAACACCATGAGACGGTCTGGAGCCTTAAAAACCTCCACAAGGAATAAAAGATCAATTACCAGAAAATTGTCCTTTGCCTAAAGACTTAGACATAGAACTAGAGGGCTGAGCATTGGCATGAAGACCAGAAGGAGATATAGGAACAGTCGAGGGAGTGGGAAGGATACCAGTGCCTAGATTGAGAGAGCTAGAAGAAGTATGACCAATCATGGCCACCATAGGAGTATGAAGAGTTGAAAGGGGCGATTCGACAGATTGTTCAGCAACTAAAAGCTGAGTGCCAAACTCTTTGAAAGAAATGGAAGTATCTCGAGCAATGAGAACTGTCTTGATCATATCGTACTTGGAAGGTAATCCATTGAGGGCTGTAATCATGAGATCATCATCCGAAATTGAAACTCCAGTAACAGACAACTGATCCTTGATATGTATAGACGCATGAGATATTTATCAATTGAACCACCACATTTTTTAGCCGTCTATAACTCAGTCTTAAGATGATTGATCCGAGCACGAGAGACGGTGGCATAACGATCAGATAGGCTCAACCAAGCATCATGAGCCGTTTTACTGCCGATAACATATTCAATCGCGTCGTCCGAGAGTGTTGCAATCAGAAAGCTCAATAATGCTTTATTAGCCCGAAGCCACTCCTTATCTAATGCAGTAACCTTTGAGGTGACTGCTTCTTCATCCAAAATAGAAAATTTTGAATGGTAGATCCATCGAAATGGCCGACAAGATCATAACCTTCCAGGATAGATTCGAGCTTATACCGCCATTTCAAGAAATTATAATCTTTCAGACGTAGAGTAACCATTCCTAGCAATCCTTCAATTTTGAGAGATGAAGCCGCCATTGATGCAGAAAAATAGAATGTCAAAGAAACCATAGAAGAGGAATTTGTCTAAGGATCACAGAAGAAAGATGAGAGTTTTGGAATCGAAGAAGAAGAAGTGAAATTGAGAAAGAAATTGAGCGTGAAATCGAAGAAATTGATTCAACGAACAGGAAAGGAATTGAGCATGAAATTGACGAAATTGACGTGAAATTGAAGAAGGGGAAAGAAAGAGAACAAGAAATCAGAGCTGAACACAGAGGAAGCACATCAGGATCACAGTGTACAAGCCACGCAGAGCTCTATAAAAGTCTGCAGATTGAGCCAGGTTTTGGTGAGCCCATAACCCACAGGTCCCAGGATCGAAACCTGCTTTGATACCGATTAAGGAAGAATTGAGAAGAAGAAGAAGGATTGAGAAATCAGAGAGAGAAAATGAGAATAGTATCTGAGATTTCTTTTCCAATTCATGAATATTACAGTACCAAGAGACCTTTATACTTTGGGCTTTGCTTAGTAATTAAGCTAGCTCTTCCAAACTAATTGAAAGATACACGTGACTATTACAACATCTAATACAAACTAACACCCATGATCAACGCAACAGTCTTGACACATCAACAGCCTTGCCCTGTCAGCTATTAGCCAAACATAGACATCCATATTAGCTTCACTGAAGACATTCTTGATAGAAACCCAGTTAAAAGATCGTAAAAATGGCCAAAAATCTTCAATATCCAGATATTGTAAAGGAAGCCTGGAAGCATGTAAAAGTGCCCATTTTAAAACCAATACTTCTGCCAGCAAAGCAGATGTATGATTATAATGACAAGAGCTTCTTCATTTGTGTCACAGATGATGCTCCAAATAATCCAAAGTCCTTCCCTTCCTCTCTTCACTTCTCTGGTGCTCCTTGTTGTCCTTGCTATATACTGGAAGAGATTTAGAAGCCATACTTGTCCAATTGATCTTAGGTTGCCTCCAGGGCCATGGAAGCTACATCTGATTGGAAACTTGCACCAGTTGGCTGGCTCTTTACAACATCATTGCCTGACAGACTTGGCCAAGAAGTATGGGCCTATCATGCACCTCAAACTGTGACAAGCATCAACCATAGTCATTTCATCACCACAGTTAGCTGAAGAGGTGTTGAAGATAAACAAGGCCGCTTTCTCTGAACGGCCGGCCAGCGCTTATCGCTGCTGAAATCTTTTCCTACAATTGTGCAGGTCTCATCTTTGTTCCTGATAATGATCACTGGAGAGAAATGAGAAAGGTTTGCATGCTTGAGCTCCTGAGCGCGAAACGGGTGCGGTCTTTTGCATCGATAAGAAACGAAGAGGCATCGAGTCTAGTTCAATCAATCTCCTTTATCTGAGGGTCATCCTGTCAATCTTAGCGACATGATCTTCAACATGCAGAATTGCATTACTGCCCGTGCAGCCTTGGGGGAAAACTGCAAACATCAACAAGAATTTATATCATTGGTGGAGGAAATGGGAAAGTTCGTGGCAGGCTTTGATCTGCCTGATCTCTTCCCTTCGCTTTAGCTCCTCCGTTATGTCACTGGTTTGAAGCCTGCCTCGGAGAAAATACACCGAAAGATGGACAGGATTCTAGAGGAAGTTATCAATGACCATAGAAAGAAAAGAAAGGCCGCCTTTGCATTATTAACCAACAAAAATAACAAAGAATCATGCCATCAGGAAGAAGTAGAAGATCTAGTTGAGGTGCTTTTACAACTCTAGAAGTCTGGTGAACTCCAAATTAATCTCACAAACACCATAATCAAAGATGTCACGCTGGTACGTATGTACATAACGTTACCTTTATGAGTGTTATAATCTACTTCTTTTGTTTCTTGACTAATTAATTTCTGTTCTGTCAAGGTCATCAGGACATGATATTATAATTAGTCGGTATGAAAATGATATTAAGTGAATAAAGTACTTTTATTTTTCTTTCATTTTTATAGGACTTGTATTTTGCTGGAAGTGAGACTGCAGCGGCTACCACAGAATGGGCAATGTCAGAACTTGTGAGAAATCCTAGAGCAATGGAGAAAGCACAGGCAGAGGTACGCCAAGTTGTTGCAGGATTGGGAAATGAGAAAAAACTCGAAGATGCAGACATGAAGAAGCTAGACTACTTGAAGATGGTGATAAAAGAAACTCTATGATTACACCCTCCTCTTCCCTTATTCCCAAGGCAATTAGCTGAAGCAGATGATGATGATCAAAGCGGCTTATTATTACATAAAATTGGCGGGTACGATATACCAAGTAAATCGAGAGTGTTAATCAATGCTTGGGGGATGGGGAGAGACCCTCAACACTGGGAAAATCCTGATTGCTTTATGCCTGACAGGTTCCAAGGTTGCCGGGTTGATTTTCGAGGGAACGACTTCAAATTTATTCCATTTGGGGGAGGTAAGAGAATGTGTACAGGCATATTATTTGGAACTACATCCGTTGAGCTTGCACTTGCTCAACTGCTCTACCACTTTAACTGGAAACTCCCTCCCCACTCCCCTCCTGTTGTCTTAAAAAATGCCTTTAATGCCACTGAAGAAGAAGAAGAACAAGAGCAACAGCAACAGCTTCAGCTTGACATGATGGAACCTATCAAGTTGGCTGCTATCAAGAAGAATGACTTGTATGTTACCGCCATTCCATTCATTCCATGAAGATCACTTCACTACATACAGCGTTGTTGTCGCTGCTGCTGTTGTTTGTAAGCGGTTTTCTATTTATTTTTGTGCCATCTCATGTGGTAGATGACATGAATTGCCATCTCATCTATCACATAAGTTAGTGTCATCAACATGGTAAATAAGATCTTTTGAGGGATTTAGTTTGCCATCTAGTTAACTGGGGATGCTAAAGGACGTGAACCTGTGGGGTGCCAAGAGCCCACGCACTTCTAGATGAATGTTAACTGTTGATGCATGTGAGTGCGGCTGATAATAGTCTACATGCATCAACAACTGACAGTCACCCAATCCTTATCATAATTCACGCGTGAACATAAACAACAGTATAGATCGCCAATTACGATTCATTCGACCTAACTTGAGAAAGCAGTAAAAGAATGGTGCTCTCTTGTTTTTCATTACATGTGTGTGGTTATCTCAATCATCCCCAAACAAGAAATGGTAATGGCAGATAAGTAATATCATCCCCTCATAAGAGTTTCCTCTTTGCCCTTCTGGTGAGCTTGTAAGACATGCTCGACAATAAATAATGTTTGGAAGAGAAGGAATATATGCAGAAACATATTATTCAGAATTTACTCCCTAAGAAAGCTCCACGGTCCTGTTCCCGTTCCTATCCTGCAAAAGGATTCATGCTGTTGAAGCAACTTTGAATTTACAGATCACCAAATATGTTATGACAACAATCTTTGTTAGACAATTTAGTTCAACCGGATATTTACCTCCAAAATCCAACCAGTGCGCGCAAACTCATAAAGACAGATAAAGCAACCCAGATACCAACAAAGCCGTGGCTTGATAATAGAAATAGGCACAATATGCTCACTAAAGCCACCAAAACCTGGAATTCACAGAGAATAATCACAGAGAGAGAGAGAGATTTTTCTGTACAGACATCTATTCTACCACTGGTAAACAAGAAGCAATATAATAAATAATTGATTAAGAGCGCAACAAGCGTTAGACTTGCCATTGAGTATGCAGAATATGCAAAATCTGATGCTCCATAATTGACTCCATCAAAAACAAATGCTAAAGCGTTAATAGGTTGAGTCACTGCAACAAACTAGCCAAAACAAAAATAAAAAAATAAGTCTCAGCTCTAAATTACCCTGGAACTATTGGAACAAGAAAAAAAAAGTCATTTGTTTCTTTGCTTGGGCAGAAGGGGAGAGAGATACCGGGATGCCTAAACTTATAAGCTGCAAAACGTTGATGTCTTTTGTAAATATTCTGGAGCCAAAGTGTAATACAACTGTGAGGATGATTGAGAGCATTAGCCCTAGAACCAAAGCCAACTGCATAATAGAACCATAAGCAATTCAAAATATGACAAGGAAAAAGAGTAAATTGATATGTTCAAAAGTTAGGTTACCTGCAATACACGTGAAGCTGTGGCGACAGCCTTGCTGTGATCTTTCCTTGCAAAGGCGCTTGCAAGGATTGCCTGAAAGTGAAGTAAGACGGTGTTATAGATGATAAGAAACAACAGAATTACAGCAAATAAAACAAGGCTAAGACTGCCTTAAAACAGAGCAAAATGCGATTCTTAACACGAGCAAAACATAATTTCTGAAACGATATGTACAGAAGATAGTCTATATATGGCCAAACACCATGCTCATAGGTTGTAGATTTTTACTAATGCTTGATACAATTTCTAAACATTCTTAAGTGAAGTGCAATTCTTATTTGAACATGATAAGGTAAGTCCACAAAATTCTGCGACGTCAGGAATGTAAATTACCATCATATCAATCCATTCTCTTTTCAAAATCCATTACTTACTTGTCCAGCCACAGCCAAGCCGTCAGCAAGCAAAGAGGCTGCCAACCAGATCTGCAAGCAAACTTGGAATGCAGCCATTGTCGTCGGTCCCTGCCTTGCAGCTAATGCTGCTGCCAGAGTAACACAGAATGTTGCAGCTATCACCCTCACCAATAACAAAAACCCTGACCCAAGACCAAAAAATTAAATTATAGAACAATCAACAAGAAACTATTTTCTAATAGAAAAACCATAGACCAGGAGATGAGGAACTAGTGAAGGAATTTTTTTGTTTGTTGAGAATTTAGATTATAATAGAAGGGCCAACGCGATAAATTCTTATAAAATAACTTGAATGTCAAGCAAAATGATCGTATAACCTTTAAGATAATAACAAACATTTTAACTTCATGAAAACCTGCTCGAGAAGATATGGGAACTCGACTATAGGCTATCAGTGTTTTTGTACATATATAATAAGACATCTTTAGGGCCTTGAGTTTCAATAATACCAAAGATATGGATTCATTATCTAAGGACTGGTGAAATTCTACTTGCAGATTATTTACTTACAAAGAAAAAAAGAAATAGAAGCCTCTACCATTTTTCAGAAACTGGCCAAATCGTAGATCTTTGACACCTGAGGTTAGGAGATCAACTTGCTTGTTTAATTTCCACAACAATATCAGGGAGATTAAGTACCTACAATGATCACAAATCAAGTGAAACAGCAGCAAAGATGCCAAAGAGTGTCATTTATACTAACAAAAAAAGAAAAAAAGAAGAAAAGAAAAAAAAAGAAGAAAAGAAGTCTTGGCAAATGGTCTGAACTAATCAATTACTATCAGCCAAAGATAAGCTTACTGAGAAATAACATGGGCAATGGCCGCACCTCTAACACCCATATGGAATACGAACATTAATATTGGGTCCAAAATGATGTTTGCTACATCTCCCACAACTACATTTTAAGAAACAAACCAAGTAGAAGGATTTCAGTCAAATTAACGCAACAAAGATGACGAGTTCATATCCTTCAGAGCAGACTCTGCTTAATATAACTAAATTTAGAATTACCCCCAACAAGTAATGAAATTGTTAATGTAGACAAAATATGTGCATATACACATACTTAGTAACAATATATATTCTGGTGTTTGCAAAGTTTTAGATCATTGATACTTTCTTCCTGATTATTTAGCAGTATAAGCAGTTGTTAAACAAAAAATAACTGGAAGACTAAATGTCCAAGTCAATGAACAGATATATATGGGATTCAAGCATTCTACAACTTGGATCAACCATCAAATGCAATCTTTTCATAAGACGGATGCATAAAATATAATACAAACAGTGAATTAAATGAAACAGATTCCTAACCCCCCCGCCAATGGAAAACAAGTCGAATCCAGGATAAATGGTTGGTATTTACATTTTTACATACGAAACTGAGACTAATGCTATCGTTTGATCATGAGTAAAAGAAACTTGAAAACTTACGCCAGCATCACTTTCCTGGAGGTGAAGATAAGACAAGAATGGAGGATTGCTAGTTTTGAGATTTTATGCTTGAAAATGAGAATAGGATCAGAATGATATAATGACAGGATGAAGAAAGAATAATGGAGGACACAAATGATGTCCCGGACCCAATCCAATTCAATTTGATAGTCAACCCCCTGGATCTGATATATTGGCATAGAAATTATGAATGCCATCATGACATGGATCTTCATAATGATCTTCCATTGCAGAATGAAATTATTCAGTTCAAATTCTGGGAGAAGATTATACTTGTTTCAAAAGTTAATGAAGTCACTGCATTTTTTTGGGTCATGCTCGTATGTGCATTGACAACGTATTACTGTCTAATAGTCTAAAGGGAAAAAGAAATTAAAAAGAAAGAGAGAAGGCTTAGATTACTTGTAGCATATAAAGGAGTTTTTGTATCTTTAAAACCACGAAAAACCCCTTGCACAGCCAATGAGAGAAGAACAGCTGGAGCACCAAGTGACCTCAATGTCAAGTATTGTCTTGCTGGTTTTAGCATAGGAGAATTCTGCATTAAGAAAACAATAGAAACTGTCATTATTGAACTCACTATACATGCCAAGATATATCTTAAACTTCAGTAATTTTATATAGAACCAAAAGGCAAATAGAGATGAACTCGAAGCGCATTCTCGAATAGAAAAACAAACTTATGTGAGAAATATAACATCAACATAAGAATTGTAGAAAATTCAGGACTTATATATGTGAAGTACTGGAACAACTTCAACAAGTAAATTATGTACATCTGAACAACATTGCAACAATAAGGAATCCGAATGTGCTTTACTTCAAATTCTGAATACAGATAACTCAAGAATTTAGTACTCATTAAACGTATAGAAAATGATTGACTTCAACACATCAAATCTATCCTTGTAAGCATCTGAATCTAATAAAAAGAGCAGAAACAATGATTCAGTAGTACTGCTGGAAGTTCCTATGAAACATACCCAGCAAAAAAATGGTATGTCTCAGAAATGAGATATCTTCCAGACCTCTCTCTCTCTCTCTCTCTCTCTCTCTCTCTCTCTTGTGAAGATATGAGGCAGAGAGAACAATCTTAATTTCCATCATGCAACATTGCTCCGTAAGTTTGTTCCATCACTACTAATACTACCTAACTCAATCCCTGCCTGATTTTCATAAACACTTCTCGTGGAAAAACATTTTTACTGATAGGTATGTAAGAACTAACAAACCACCTCCCTCCTCCTTTTCTTTTCTTTTCTTTTTGTAGGCAGAAAAGACACCCTGTCGGCTCAACATTTTTGCAAACCGGACCCAATATATTTGGAGGTTGAAGTTTAAAACAGTAAAGCATAGCTTATTTAATGTATGATGCAGAAATGGAAACAAAAAGGGTTCGATAGGAAACCCTCACAAATAAACTGAAGTTGCTAAAGACAAAGATATGAGATCAACTTGACTAATATTCAAGGTACTCCATAACAAGAATTTAAAAAAAAACAAAAAGAGGATAAAACAAAATATCTAAAGACTCCAGCATTTCAAAATATTACTTACAGAATCAACACCCATGTAATTGAGGATAGGCTTTGCAGAAAAAATTAGGAATACAGCTTGAATAAACCCAAGTACACTGCCAACCACCAATGCTGATGATGCAGATGGAATATGCCTTCGGACATGCT